ATTAACTTAGCATATGAAATCTCATAGAATTCCTATCGAAATTCCTTTGAAACTGTCTCTAAAATTTCCTTGGAATTTTCCACAGAATTTCTTAGGAATTATCCTCTCAAAAACTACATTCAGCTTTCATTAGAATTTTAAGATTTTCTTGGAATTACCTTGCATTAATGTATGGAATTCATTAAAAGTTCTTCTTACACTTCCGTAGAATCCTGATCAGTTTTTTTTTTCTATGTTCGGGACATTAAACCACTGCGACCAGTAATTTGATCTATAGCAGTATATGCTGTGTCCTTAACTATTGAGAAATGATGAAGTATTCGGTTTTGATACAGTTGTCGTTTTTGCCTTCATCGCAAGGAATCGATTCCAATTGAAAGGTCCCGCTATTTATACCCTTCAAAGAATGGGAGCACCCTCCAAAGGCGCGCCCCTTTGTCAGTCAAAATTGGATTCCTTAGCAACAAAATTAAGCAATGACACCGATAATGACCATCTAGTCTTAACCACTTCAAACTAGGAAACAGCGAATAGAAGATTAGGAATCAGATGAAGACTAACTAAATCATTTTTTTCCTTGTTTCAAGATCATCCTATAGGTCCAGGCCACCGGAGGACTTATCACTATTAACAAGGTACACCTTTTTTGCCTTTATTATCGAGATTTCCAGCCGCAGGCTGGTTCATATCCCGTTTAATGGTAATAGGGGGAGAGCGTTTGAAAGATTTAGTAAGGCCCCCTTGGCAATTGAATAATCAATAGTTACAGGCTCTTATTACGAGTGTCACTTCACGGTGAAAACGAAGTGAAGTGACCACTTGTCACTCACGGTGAAGTGATTGCCGTGTAAATTAAATGGGAACCACTTCAACGCGAGTGTGTAAGAGCAACCAAAGGATGCCCGCAAGGAGGCGTGTTATCACCTCTATTGTGGTCTTTAATAGTTGATGATCTTCTCAAAAATTTAATAGCCCAAGGCTTCGAAATAATTGGCTTCGCAGATGATATAGGTAGTCATAATTGTAGGTGGCATATATGATTGTATTATCGTTAACAGAAAGCAAATTGCTTTAAATTTTGTCTCATCGTGTTGTGATAGGGAAGGATTAAACATAAATCCTTCTAAAACTACTATCGTGCCATTTACCCGAAGGAAGAAATTTTCATTAGACAACATAATATTGAAAGGCACACTTTCGGAACTTTCTAATGCTACCAAATATCTTGGAGTAATCCTCGATAGTAAACTTAATTGGAATATGCATCTAGAGCAGGCAATAAAAAAAGCTACTAATGCTCTATGGATATGCAAGAGAACATTCGGTAAGCAGTGGGGACTGAAACCGAAAATGATCCATTGGATTTACTCGGCAATTGTGAAACCCAGGATTACTTATGGTGCATTGGTCTGGTGGCTAAAAACAAAAGAGAGTGTTGCTCAGAGAAAGTTAGAAAAACTCCAAAGGTTAGCAACTCTCTCAATAACAGGTGCAATGAGAAGTACACCATCGAAGGCATTGGATGCTTTGCTTTATATGCTACCATTGCATTAATTCGTCCAATTAGAAGCCGACAAGTGTGCTCTAAGGATTACAAGGTTAGTGAAACTCTTTGAAGGAGACCTTAGAGGACATCTTAGGATTCTAAAAACTGTTAGTATCAACTCTCTAGTAAGGAACAACGAAGACTGGATGGAGAAAAGATACAATTTCAATCGACTTTTTCAAGTAGTTGACCCTGGGCATAATTCATGGCAATTTGGTGGCCCGGTTCTTCGTCCAGGATCGATTGTTTTTCATACAGATGGTTCAAAATTGAACAATCAAGTGGGAGCAGGAGTAACTGGCCCAGGGATAGAAATATCGGTTCCTATGGGCAGATGGCCAACTGTGTTCCAAGCTGAAATCCAAGCAATTTTAGAGTGTTCCATTATATGTTTGCGTAGAAACTATAAGAGTTCAAATATATGAGTCATGTCCGACAGTCAAGCTGCTCTAAATGCTTTAAAGTCGGCGACATGTACATCAAAACTTGTCTGGCAGTGTGTTCAATCACTTCAAAAATTGTCTTGTCATAATCAAGTCAACTTATATTGGGTTCCTGGTCATTTTAGGGAAATGAAAGACTCGGATCTTCTCATAAGTTCATCGGGCCAGAGCCCTTTTGTGGCTTATCGGCTGCATCTCTTAGAATGGAGCTAAAAGCGTGGGAATCTTCAAAAGTGGAGGAAAACTGGAAGAACACTTCTATTACTAGGCAGTCGAAGCGATTCATTAATCCACACATTTCTGTGATTCGCAAAATCCTGGAACTTTCTAAGAAAGATCTTAGTATATATGCAGGTCTTATAACAGGTCATTGTCCGAGCCGTTATCAGTTGAAGCTGATTGGAAAACTTCAAGATGATGTATGTCGCTTCTGTGGCAAAGAAAAGGAAGACTCGGAACATTTGCTATGCCACTGTCCGGAAATTTTCAATAAAAGGCGTAAGTTCTTCGACAAGGGGCTGATCGGGCTGATAGAACCCTTTGACATTTGGAGAACAACTCCCAGTACGGCAGTGCACTTTATTCGAAGTATAATGCCGTGCTGCTGGGATAATGCTATTAGTTAAACGATGGCGATCACTCCTAATAATAGTGATACGGCATCTTGATATAGCTAAAGAAAAAAAAAATGGGGAATATATCACAATAGATCAGAAAAATGGTCGCTGTGATGAAAATACCCGACAAGGGAAAAAAAACGCGAGTGAAAAGTTGTCACTTCACCGTGAAGCGTGAAGTGACATCGGTAATAAGGGCCACAGTAGTTAATTCATGGCAAATTAGTTAAACAAAATCGTAGTCCGTTAATCGTTTGCAGGATGGTCAGTTATGGAATGTCAAATCTCTTAGCGTGGACAGAAGATTAGTTTTTCAAATCTGTGTGTAGAGTCCGGTGTCTTTCAGGAAGCACATCAAGGCAGATTCGTATGAGCGATCGTTACTCAGAACGCCTCGTACTCCAGCGTGCATACCATACAGACGTCGATGATTCTCATTCTTGTGACAATTCACAAGTATGTGTTCTACTGATTGTTGTATCTGGCATATATCGCACCGTTTTTGCCTGTCTGGTACTATGGAATAGTCATGGGTGGCTCGAGTGTGACCCGTTCTAAGATGCGATAGGAATCGTTGGTCTTTCCAGTGGGGCTGATCGGTCCATTTCTTGATGTTGCCCTTCACCTTTCGCAATAATAGCCATCTTTCTTCGAGCGCAGCCATCTTGGATGATCGCTCTAACCCATGTTTCGATGTCGTCAGCTGGCGTTTCATTGGTATACAAACTTGACTCCCACCCGACTGACACAAGATGGTCGGCAGTTTCTTTTCCAGTTATTTCGCAGTGTGCGGGTATCCAGACAAATCGAAGGTTATTAGCCGCATTGTGTGTAGCTTGGATCCACGGGTGCCGATTCCTATGAAATTTGAGCGCCGAAAGTACACTTGCTGAGTTGGAGAGGATTGCCGTTGGACACGATGAAGCTTCAGAGTTAGCTATCACAGGTAGGCGATGAAAGTAGGTTATATTGGGACCGGTTACCCCAATTCCTACGTGACCAAGTGCTTTAGAGCCGCCCATGAGTATGAGTTGGTGATTGGCAAGCCTGGTAGAAATGAATTGTAGGTATGCTTTGTGAAGATGAATAGAGTTTTATCCAGCTCTGAACTTCCTTTTCATTGTCCAGTCGATGTTCAATTGAGGCGAGCTCCAACCTCTGTCTCCTACTCAGTGACAATCTGGAAAGGCATACATAGTAACAAGAACCAAGATGTGTTCATTTGATTACTGAAAAATCCTGTTCCCCTAGTTTGAAGTAGTCAGGACTAGGAATCGGTGGTAGATCTTACATCCCGTAACGTACCACGTAAAGGTGATCTACCCACGTTACGGGGCTTCCTCAAAATTAGCAGCGATTTCTAGTCAGAGAACTTGCTTGGATTTGTCCGAGGTATCACTTGTCCTCGAAATTATCTGTTAGATTCAGCAAGAATTCCCTAGGAATATTCGCAGAATATTTATCTTCGGTTCGGAACGTTGAACGTTTCGCAAAGTTTGCTCTTTTTTACAGGGTCAAGGATGTCAAAATTGTTTGTGTAACGACTCCGATCTAGAATCAAGGATTAAATTTAGTAGATCTTACACCATATCGCACCACGAATAAGAGGTGACCTACTCGCGATATGGGAATTATAATTAGATCAGAGAAGTTTACCATGAATAACAACAGAAGTTTCCCCGCTAGAGTGGTTGGTGACATGCCTTTGAACTAAGAAAACTGGTAAATAATCATCTGCCCGGCAAGGACTTATTAAATTAACATAAATTAAAGAGGCGTAAATAATTAGAAATTCGGAACCGAATAAAACAGCACAAAAGAAGAAGAAAAGAAGGAAAAACAGGTATACTAAAATCAAAATTTCATTTTCATACTTTTATTCGCACGTTTTTTGTTTTCATATCCTTGCCAATAGTTTGGTTTCATGTATTTTCGTTTTTTTGCTGCCCTAAAACCTAAATCATTTGCATTTTTTTTTTATAAATAATAAATACATTAATACACGCGCATGCAAAACATACCTTCTTCTCATACGTTCTCACCTCTCCCATTCATCTCTTTTTCTTGACCACTTTTCCACGCTGGCTGCTCTCCCATCATGCACTTAGTCTCTTCGTTATACCAGTTCTTCATTGCTGTTCTTGTTTAAATTTCTTTTTTGTTTTTCTACCCATATCGATTTGACACATTTGCGTAAAATCTAGTTCATAGTGAAACACTATCGTTTTAGTGCAGTGAAAAAAAGTATGCAAGAGTTGTTTGTAACTTAAGTGGTGTATTTACTGCGTAGGTACTAGAAAACATAGAACTGAGTCTTCGCAGATTTTTGTTTGTGATTTCATTTTACTTGTATTACATATTTAATTTTTATAGCAACTACACTTCCGCTAACAGCTTCCATTACGATTCACTTAGTACAAATGTTTTGTGTTTTGTTTGTATCGTATTTATTTGTATTACCATTTTCGAAATATTTTGTTTATCATTCATAAAACTAGTAGACTATCGAAAACGACGAATGGCTTTTGTTTTTTTTATTCCTTCTTACGTGTTGATTGTTTGTGTGTATGTATGTGATTGTGTAATGTGTAATGTGTGATTGTATTATATGTTATGCATATGTTCAAATAAATAATTTAGATTCACAAATAAACTAAACGAAAGAGTGCTGTTACTTTAGAAAACTGAAGAAAACTTCACGCACCTATCCGCGTTTCTATATGGTACACAACTAACTGATGATCCCCATTTTACGGGAAACAAAGGACAATCTCTGCTCTGCCGAGCTCCCGCTCAGCGGCATCCCATGCTAACAGACTAACAACTAATTATTGTTTGTGTGTTTGTTTTTGTCCATATTGAATTACTACTAATTTATTGATCGTATAAATAAAGTTTTTTTTTCTCTATCAATCACTAGTACTATATAAACAAGCTATCTAACAAACAAATTTGTTGTAAAACTAAAAATGTGACAAACAAAAAATAAGATGTCAAAGAAATATCAAACAAAAGAGTCTCATTCAGCTACGCACTCCTTGCAGTGCTACGTACTAGAATTTAGTATCCTGTTTGAGTTGGTTTCTCTAGGTTTTGTTTTACAAAATAGCCTAACACGACTACGAGCTCTACTAGCTCTTCTAACCTCACGTCCCACCATCAGGATAAGTATTTTGTTTAAATGTTTATGTTTCTGTTATTCTGTTATTCTGAGATAAATGCACATAAAAAAACGGTTTTCGTTTTGGCTTACTTCTTCTTCTTCTGATCTTTTTCGGCTTTCTTCTCGGCCTTCTTGATAAGCTTTTCCCGTTCCCGTCGGTCTTTTTCGTTCTGCTTGCGTTCCTTCTCGTTGAGCCGGCGCAGTTCCTTGATGTTGCGCTTGAGATGTTTCTTGTCCTCACCGCCGACGGCCAGGATCTTGAAGTCCGGTTTCTCCAGCTGCAGTAGCGCTCCCCCCTCGACCGAGTGCTTCACGAAGGCCGGAATGTGCGCCTCCAGTCCGATGCCGAGCAACCACTGGCAGACCTGTTGTGGGCGAATAGAATAGAAAGTGAGACCGGTTAGTGGCTGCATTTAGAAGCCCTGTTTACCTCGTATAAGAGGCTGTTCATAAACCACGAGTCTCGACGAGTCTCTAATTTTTGTAAAATGTGTATGGACTATTGTCTACTCAGAGAAAAGCGGAGGGTTCTATAACCTCTACAAAACTGCTTTTCTAGATATACCGTGAGGGTGCCTTATTCTGCGCAGCTCCTAATTCTGCGCAGCTCCTAATTCTGCGCATTTTTTCATTAAAACATTTTTTGAATTCTATTTACGGCTATAATCATCTTTATTACGCGATATAATGAATCTGAATCATGTAGTCTACGATATAAATAAGTACCAATTCAGGAAATTGCCGACATCATTGGAAAAATAAATAAAAACAAAACCGGCAGCACTGAAAACGTCAAAAAATGGCATCCGTTAGCAGCAGCGCTAAGAAGCCCGTTTGAAAATATTTCTCATTTGTAAACATTGGAGTGTGTTTATTTCATTCATTTTTGTGCTGATCGCTAGATGTAAGTATTTTTAATTTGATCCAAATGGATTTCAGTGCATATCGAGTATATTGCACTGTAAAAGAAGTAATTTATTTTGCGCAAAATATGGTACAAATATTGACTGCATGTTCCTAAATCTGCGGATAGGTCGAGAAAATGAGTTCCGGAAGAAAACATATGCAGTACACTCCCCAGCAAGTTGAGTCGGCAATTCTAATGATAAAGAAGGGCTTTTCTATTCGCCAAGCTTCCAAAGCACATCACGTTCCGGAACGTACGTTAAGAGCAACACTGGCTCGCGGCTCCGTATCTCATCATCCCGGTAAACCAACCGTTCTAACAAAGGAAGAGGAGGATCGTATTGTGCAATGGATAATTGATTCAGCAAAAGTTGGCTTGCCAGTAGATTCCTTGCGCTTAAAAGTATACGTGGCATATTACCTTGGTATTACACGCAAGTCGAATAATCCGTTCGCTGTAAAAGCTCCTGGACGTAAATGGTTAAAACATTTTCTTGGCCGACATCCGAACATTGCTCGTAGAATTCCAAGCGCTTTGTTTAAACAACGGACGTGTGTTACAGAGAACCAAATTCGGAATTGGTTTCGTGAAATTCAGCAATTCATCCATCAGGAAGAGTTACGTGATGTTTGGCAAAACCCACAACGCGTTTTCAACATGGATCAATCGTCTATGCGATTGGTTCCCACGAAAGAGAAAGTTCTAGCGAAAGTCGGACAGAAATACGTTCACACGGCTAACGCAAACTCGGAGAAAGAATGCTACACCGTATTATTTTCGGCAAATGCAGCCGGATCGCTGGCGCCACCATTAGTTTTATTTCCATACAAGCAGCGGCTTCCTGCGGAAATAGCGAACAGTGCGCCAGATGGTTGGGCTATCGGAAAAAGTGTATCGGGGTGGATGAACCAGGAAACCTTCTATTACTATCTGAAGAACGTGTTCTATCCGTGGATTATCAAAAGCGATATTCCTCTACCGATTGTGCTTTTCGTCGACGGGCACAAGTCCCATGTGTCCTTTCAAACAACAGAGTTTTGTCGAGCTAAAAAGATTGTACTGATTTGTCTCTTCCCGAATTCCACCCATGTACTGCAGCCATTAGATGTGTCGTTTTTCAGAGGGTTGAAAGTGCAGTGGAATAAGCATCTTATTGAGTGGCGCACTTTCCATGCTGGTGAACCCATAAAAAGGCACGAGTTTACGCCGTTGCTAAAACGGGCTGTTGATAATATTCCAAATATGGCAAAAAATATCAAAAACGGATTTCGCAAATGTGGATTATTGCCGTGGGATCCAGACGCTGTCAACTACGAGATGCTTCTAAATACGGAAATCCAGCACAGCATTACGGTTCAAACCACAAGCTCTTCCGTATCAGATGCTAGCCCATTTTCCAATGCGACTGTTATCTTGGACGGATTAGAATCACATCTCACATTGCGACAACTGCAGAATTTTGAACAAAATCAAAAAAAGGTGCAATGGCCAGGACAGGTTGAAGACGCTAATTTGTTTTACGTGTGGCAACGTGTAAAACAAGATGTAGAATCTGAGAAATTGTTGAAAGTTAACACGACTTTTTCGTCAGAAGACGATTGCTTCCGTGGATTCGAGGAATTTGATCTAGACGGTAGTATCTTACTATGACATTTACAGTTTTCCTAATCATGCATGCAACAATATTTTCAGCCGATCGACGAAAGCTTCTTGTTAAGTACCAACTTCAAAGCACTGTCGAAAAAGATCCTTCTCCGTTGGAAACAGGTGATATCAGCCAAGGAAACCCTTTGGCGATGGAAAATTTTCGTGCTTCTGGTGATTGCATCGGTAATATTGTTTATGAGAACGTACCAATTTAGTATATTTATTTCCCATAATTGATATTTTCAGATGATTGCCATTCTATCGTTGGGGAACCCATTATCAGAAGCGCTATTGACCCAGGTACCGGTCGTCCGGATTGTATGCAAGAAGCAGCATCAATCAGTGACAGATTCTTCAAACGTGAATATTGGAACCACGCACATTGCAGAACCAGAACATGGCATCGACGATGACTTTTTCGATAAAGCTTTTCAAGTACCCTCTTCTGCGGCGCGTAAAACTCGTAAATTAAAGAAGTATAAACCACGACCTCCATCTGTGGCTACGAGTGAGGCATTCAAGGCTTATTTTGAAACGATGGAATTAGAAAAGCATACGCAAGAGCAAGAAAAGAACAAAGGAAGGCCATTCGAGAAGAAAAAAGTTTGGCAGCGAAGAAAAAGCTGGAAACACTTACTGGAAAACGCCAGCGAAAGCTTTAAGGAAAAGGCTGAAGGAGCTGGTACTAATTTGGCAGAAATTGAATAGACAGTTGTGAAAAAAGTGATAAAGTTTAAATTATGATAAAGTTTGCTTTATGAAAGATTTCCAAGAAAAGTTGATTAATTTTTTTGTACATAAATGCTTAATACTCATACAAGAATAAATACCATGATTTTACATGCTGTTTTTTTTGTGCGCAAAATTAGAAACACAGTGCGCAGAATATGGAACATTTGAAAAATGAAGCGCAGAATTAGGAACATCATCACATACTCAAAAAATACTTTGTTTCATGTTACCGTTTTTCATTAGATCAACATTTATATTTTTTATGTATACCTACATGCTAGAGCTATACAAATACTAAATCAAAATATTTCAAAACAATGCTGAATTTTTCTAGAAACTCTTTTTTTGTAGAAAATGTCTTAAATAAGTGCGCAGAATATGGTACCATCACGGTAGTCGATTCGAATCTAAGTATAGAATTCACCGCACGGTGTGTGCAATAATTCGCATATCCGGAGTGATTTGAGATTTAGGAGTACATAATTGCTTTTATAAACAAACACGTTAATTGCCGATTTCTCTTGAATAAAAGCACAATCTCATAAACAAACTTTACCAAATGATAGAGGAATCATTCGTATATCTCATAGTGTTATTAGTTATTATCGACGATCGAGTTATTAGTTATCGACGATTTACGTGTTTGTTTAAAAATGCAATTACGCCCAAATCTCAAAACACTCCGGATATGACAGAGCCTGGTCGTCCCGATGCCGAAGCAGGGCACTCCGAGTCGTAACCCCAAAGACTTCCACCTGATCTCCTTAACATGCTGGGTTAGCAAAGTGCTGGAGAAAGTTTTATATCATTAACCCAGATGACAGTAAAGCCTTGTCAATTTAGAATCGGTACGCTTTCAATCGGATGTATCTCAGAATCTGTTTGGTTTAGAATAAAACTTCAAGGTACACCGGGCAAGTTGAAACGTGTGAGGAAGTTGAAACGGTAGGAATATCTTTTACTGGAAGTGAATAATTACTGAATTTATTTCTATTCTAGTAGTTGGCGGTACTACTCAATGCCTCTCAAAAATAATTACAGTGAATATTCACTTCCGCTAAGAGATACACTGCCGCTATTTGCATAACAGTCCCCTTTTCTAAGGAATTCTTATTCATATGGGACTGTTATGCGAATAGCGGCAGTAAACCTACCGTTTCAACTTTCCCGCACGTTTCAACTTACCCCGGTGTACCTTATTGAGATAAAATGTTATGTATTTATCATTATACCATATGGATTTTGCGATTTTATTCCTCTCGAATGAGTGGAGGCGAACCAGCCTTAGGCTGAAAGCCTCCTAAATAAAGGTAAATCAATCAACCTCTCGAATGAAAATTTGAACTTTGGGCTTGATACGTCCCATCAATTTCTGCACAAGCTGCTGGTCAACCTCACCATCACATTCCCTGCCAGATCATCAGCTTACCGGCAAACTTGTCCGCAAAAACAAATTTATATCAACAATCAATACGAAACTAACGATTTTAATTTGACTCACTACTTGACTAGCCTATTGGTCCCAAGCAAACGATTAACGTACCCCATTCTAGTCGAAATTCTAGTACTACGCAATGTTTGTTTTGATTCGCTATGAAAGTTTGACAGATAAAATGAGGGGTTATTGGTTTTTCCTATGTTTCGAGGGGTGAATCGATTAGCTTGGGACCGAAGAGAGTATCAGAGCTGAGCCAAAAAGTTGAGCATGTTATTTCGGGACCTTATAGTCTTAGAGTTACCTCTATGTTTATATTTCTTGGGAACATCTCCCCGACCCGACCCCTGGCAACATAAAACTTCTGTCCCGGACGCTGTTTGAAGTCCAATTTGACATACGCTTCATCGTCATAAGGATGTCAGCACCTGGTCATACAGCTTTCGGGCCCGCGTTTTGGCCGTAATGTTTTGCTTTACGGTCCGGTTCGGTTGCTTAATAGCCCGATACTTGAAGAAACATTTCTGAACTCGTATATTCCAAACTGTACTGCGAACAGCACCGAGTTTGTTGGCCACATCCTCGTCCGAAAGTCCTGGATTCGCTTTGAAAGCCTTCATGACGTTCTGACGCAGTTTCCGGTC